TAGAGTGGCTCTCTCTTTAGTTTTTGAAATTTTCAGATAAAAATGTTTTGATTTCTAATCTTGTTCAGTTGTTTGATTGTGTGGCAGGGAGAGGGAGTCTACGATGGCCCGGCAGGTCCTGGATCGACCTACGTTGGACTCAGGGATGTGATGATCACTGGATATGGGAAGAAGGTTGCGGAATTGAGGATCTGCTACAAGAAGAAGTCTAAGTTCATCAAAGTGTCTCTAGAGCGTGTTCTTACCTCACTTCCCAAGGATGGAGAAGAGCCTCAGGTGATAGAGCCAACGGGTCTCCTTGTCGACTTCATTGTCCCACGCTTCAAGAAAAGAAGAGCTTAGTTCTCTTTGGTAAGTATCTAGATAACAACAGTATGTTTGTTGTGGTCCTGTAATAAGAATGACTGACTTATTAGGCTTGTTATATCCGTATGCTAGTTGTGGAACTCGCTTGTAGTCCATATTTTAGGAGACTTTTATCTATGAGTAAAGAAGCTGATGGCTACTTTTATCACCACTTTGGGCATTCTAGCTTCCAGTCATCATCTTCTTTTTTTCTTTTTTTACCCTTCCGTGTTCGAATCGGAGCGATACAATCATACAAGAACGTATCATTTTGCCATTAAGAATATAATAGTTTAACCTTGCTTACCACTTGAAGGAGAAAGATTATAAATTTCGGAGTGCATAATCCTTATTCACCATTTTACCCCTAAACTCGTTGCAATCCTGGTTCACCCATCGAAAAGTCGGTTAAGTGAAAACCAAAATTACTGGTTCGGTTTAAAATGTTCCAAATCTATCTGTTCTTGGAACACAGATTCCTTATTTTTTTTATATATAAACAAGTATGGTTACAAAGTGATGATACCTAACCTATCTATATACTAGTTCTGCTTTTCATAAAGAAGAGGAGGATATCACTTGGAATTTTGTTAACGACCTTCAACATTGGTGAGAGTAACATCATTAAAAGAACTACCGGTTTCTCCACTGGGCCAATTACGCGAGCTGACGCCATTTGTGACGTTTCTGTTCCTTCCCACCGTAAAAGCAGGATGCTTCGGTGATGGAAGATCAACGGCGTTATGTCTCAACATGAACACAACAGAGGACATGTCTGGTCTGTCCGAAGCGCTTTCTTGCACGCAAAGCAACCCAATGTGTACGCATTTCATCACTTGGCTCACGTCATAAGTGTCTGCGTCCATTAACGTGTCTATGATCTCTTTTGCTTCACCTTTTCCCCATAGACCCCAAATCTACAATACCAAATCAACAAAATATTTTCTTGTTCCTCTGTTTTTACCAGTCCCAAACTTGTGTGAAAAGAAAAACTGCAGTTTTTTACTTACATGTCCAACTAAATTTGAAGATTCATCGTAGATGGTACTGTTCTTATGACCAGTTATGATCTCTAAGATCAATATTCCGAAGCTGTAGACGTCGGACTTTATGGAGAATTGCCCATCCATTGCATACTCCGGTGACATATATCCGCTGTGACAATGAGATTGAAACACTTTTTTCTTTCTTTCAAAATGAAGTATTTGAGAGTTTTTTGGAGATTGAGAAAGAATAACAATAACTCACTATGTTCCAACAACTCTGTTGGTGCTTCCTTCGATTTGGTTGCCCCCAAAGATTCTCGCCAAGCCAAAATCTGCAATCTTAGGAGTCATATCATTGTCAAGAAGTACATTGCTGGCCTTGAGGTCTCTGTGGATGATCCTCAGTCTTGAATCTTGATGAAGATACAATATTCCTCGAGCAATCCCTCGGATTATCCCCATCCGTTTTGGCCAATCCAACTCAGCTCTATGCTCCTCACCTAAGAGAAAAAAAAAAAAAAGAAGAGAATCAAATGCAAAGTCATTGATCTTCCCCGTTGAAACTGCGTTGGAAACGTTGACCTTACGGAATATGAAATAGTCTAGGCTCTTGTTTGGTAAATACTCATATATCAACATCTTCTCTTCCAACTCAACGCAACACCCTAAGATCCTCACTAGATTCCGATGCTGCAACTTTGATATCAACCTGACCTCGTTCTTGAACTCTTCCATTCCTTGGCCTGAGTTTCTCGACAGTCTCTTCACCGCTATCTCCATTCCATTTTGTAACACGCCCTAAATGAAAACATACCCTACATTTTGAGGAGTATTGATAAAGGTTTTAGGCATACGTAAAGATGTTTTTTGCTTCTTCCTTACCTTATAAACCGGTCCGAACCCACCTGCTCCAAGCTTGTTCTGGAAAGAGAAGTTACTTGTCGCTGCAGCGATCGTGTTAAGCTCAAAGAGAGGTAACTCCCGGTTTCTGTCCTCGTCTTCATCAAATTTGAATGAATCTTCAAAATAAAAAGAACCAAGGGAAAAGGTTGTTGAAGATCTTCTAAGCCTGTTCGACTCTGCAAGTGAGCATGTATTAGATAGCTAGTTGTTTGCTAAGCAAGAAACCTATGAACTTGAGATTTACTTACTCCGACGCTTCCTTACAAAACAGAACAAAATGCCCATTAGTAGCATTACGGCTGCTATCAAACTGATTAGTATCAGAACGACTCTCCTCTTCCCTGATAAGCCATTTCTGTTCCACCTCGCTGAAACAAGCAAGAAAATCGAAACTTAACCTAAGTACTTTCAAAACCCTAAGACATCTGAAGCATGTTTTGGAAATCAACAAGAACTCGAAGAATATGTACCTAATTCTTCCGCATCTACACGTATGTACAAGTCTTGTCCAGAATTCAAGTATGTCCTCGTATCTTTCAAATCGCCATACCACGTCAAGCACCCTGTTGCTCCTCCTTTCCTCTCGTGGTAAGCGCTTGCGTAAGCAACACACGAGCAGTTCCTCAAGCACCTCTGTTTGCAATCCTTCAATGATATGTCCATATCCACACATGCATCTGACGTGTCAGGAATCTTCGCTCGCTTCAACTTCACAAACCCTTCTTTCACACTGCATATCGAAGCTCCGTTTTTCTTTGCACACCCGCGTGAATAGTCCCTCAAGAACCAATGCCGGAGAATCTTTGGCTCAAAACCAGGTAGGCACGTGCACTCAAACGTCTCTGAGCTCGTGGGATCGCAGTGGCCGTTAACGCCGCAATGTGCGTAGTAGTCGCATTCCTCTTTAGGAACTGACCAGAACTCGTTCCACCTCTCGTCCCTCGCAATCCATGTGAACCTCTGTATGTGTCCTCTCGCGTTCACTATCATTCTTGATATGACTGAAGCATCCGTCACACCGTAAGTGAACGTTACTTCGTCCTGGTTATTCACAAACGAGTTGTTGAAGATGTACTCTCTTGTCATTCCAGGGACACCGCTCCACCTCTGACCCGTCCACGACCCGGAACGCCACCACCGGGTCAAGCCTTTGTACAGAACCATCTGCGGAAACCCTTTACGTTCCAATCGAAATGTTCGGTTCCCGGAACCAGGGTCTTCAGGAGATCTCCATGACGTTAGAAAGCGATCCAAACCGTCTTTTCGTGTGAAACCTAATCTCATAAACGGAAGGAAAGTGTCTGTAGGATGATCAAAGCTCTCCCAGAAAGTTCTTCCTGTTACTGAATCAAGCAGAACAAGGTTCCCTAAGTCAGAGAGTGTTGCAACTAGAGTTGGTTCCAAGATACTATCAGAGACATTAGTCGACCAGAGAGGCACTGTTCCGTTGACTGATGCGTGGACACAGAGATCTCCTCTGCTGCTGAACTTTATCAGACCGGATGTGTCATTAACGGGACGGTCTCTGTTTGCAACCCATACAATAGTCTGCTCAGAGATTTGAGCATACCAGATTCCGACATACCGGAGCTTTGAGTCCCCAAGGCTGAAGAATCCAAACGCAAATCTCTTCCCTTGAGAGAGTATGACATCACCGTCTCTCAGGGACTGTCTTCTCATGATGGTATCAACGGAGGAGATACAAGATTGAATGAGGGAGAAAAAGATGATGACTAAGACGAAGAAGACCTTCATTTCTGTTTCTGAGGAAAAGGTTGAATGTGATGAAACGTATAAACGGTGTGTAGTATTAAAAGCCAAGTGGCTCACACATGAACTAATAACAACATTAACTGTAAAGTTCTTCTCTGTCTTTTGTGAAAGCAGTGAACATTGATCATCAGTCACGCCACGTTCCGGATATTTCTTAAAGGATGCAACTTAAGAACTGGATTCATGTGACTTTGAACATGACATTGAACTAAAATAGTCATTACTGCGTACGTTTATGGATGACACTTCATATTGTGAATATCAAGTACGTGTCAAATCTGAGAGGAAGCTTGCTCATTTATATACTGGATAAGAACAGTTTTGACTTTTATTGGATTCATTTAAGTACACAACAAGATTCCCTTTTCAGCACAAAATTATTTTGGTGAAGCAATATACACGAATATCATTATATGTATCTTCAATGATTGGACTAAAGAGCAGGAAATGTATATTGGGCAAGTTAGCTCAAATTTCAAAGATTACAGCTGAATTCAACTGCAGAGACACAAGATCATATATCATTCGGTGAAACATAGGAATCCTTTTTCATTTGCTTTTTAAAAGACACAAACAAAGACACTGAATCCATTCATCTCTGAACTTCCACACAGTTTAAAACAAAAAACCCCAAGAAACAAGACCATACTTACAACGAAGATCTATAAAACCCCAAACCCAGAACACAAGACGATGAAAAAGCACGCCAAAGAAAACAAACCAAGGGCGCAGAAACGCTTCCTTTCCCTTCTATATCTCCTTAGGAAGGTCTCCTTCTGCAACATGGAAGCAGACTCAAGATCAGTCATCATTTGATTTAGTCCACCTTGCCAAAAAAAAGTAACTTTACATATCCATTTCAGGGAAAGTCTAACAACAAATAGATCAATCTTCAGCAAGTCTCACTATCTCTATGAAAAACTTAAAGATTGCAAGATAGGATAAAGGCTCAATCTTTGATCTAAGTAAATGGAAAGTGACCTGCAATGGAAGTCAAACTTGCTTCTGCTGCTGCTTATCTGAAGCATCATGGTACTCATCCTTGTCTCCTTCTTCTTCAGCGACCTCAGGCACTGTATGAAGTTTATCACTATCCACCAGACTCTCACCTCCATTTTCCCCTGACGTCTCATCTTCTCCGTCCTTTTCATCCGGAAACCTAACAACCACCACCGGACAAGCACAGTGGTGAACAGAGTAATCGCTGACGCTCCCCAATCTCCCTTTGCTGCTCCGCTTCGTAGCGCCGAATCCTCTGCTTCCCATGACCAAAGTGCTCAGCCCTAACCTCTCCACCTCCAAACACAGCCTCTCCTTCATATCGTGATCCTTGACGATGTGAATCTTAAACGGAATCTCCGCCTCCACCAACGGTTGAGAAACGTCGCTCGCCTTCTTGTTGGTGAAAATGTCGAAATCGTCCTCCAGCTTCCTCTGAGACTCCTCGTTATCCGGGTCCCACTGCGGCGACAGGTCAATGGCTCCCCAGTCGGCGCCGTAGAGGACGCTCGTCGGCTGAACGTGGAGGAGTACGACGGCGTCTCCTGATCGGAGGTAGTT